GAGTTGGTCAGTAGTCCTTTTTCTGAGAGATGGTTTAATTACTCTGGGATTACGGGGCCTTAAAAAGGATCCCCCCTCTTCAGCAGTCAAATCCCTCTCAACCGGACGATGGCGGCGCGACTTTGAAGTCTAAAAAGAAGGATGTATTAGACTTTGGCATCATAAATATGAAAAAACACAGCAAGCAAAATGCAGGTAAAATTATGCATAAAAGTGTCAAGGCAAAAAAACATGTATTTAACAAAATATTAAAGGCCAGAAAATGCTGTGTGTTACACACCTCTGATGCTTCTCCAAAAGCCTTTGATTTGATGGATGCCAGGAGCCTGGCTCTGTTGGAAGACTGAAGACACCAAGCAGTCAGTCAGCAGCACAACTGTAATAATCCTAACCTCAGCTTTACCAGCAGTGAAAGGAGATACATTTCTGATTCCTTTGGTTTAGCACTTAAAATTTAGCTTGTCTATATTCACATTAAGTATTATAAAACCTTTTATCTTTTGAGACAGTTCAGCTTTCTTGGTCAAATTTTTTAACTAAAATAATTTACATTTTAATATAGTAGAACGTTGCTCTGATCTGTGAGGTGAAATATCTCAATATATTGAGTTTTAAAATCTCAGAGTTCTGCTACTTGTTTATGTGCAGATTGTTGCTCTTCCGGCAATTAAATTAAAGCGTAGGAGGAATGGGAAAACATACCTCCTGTTGAGACGAAAACTTCTCTGGGCTGTTTTTGTCTTCATCAGTCGTCTCCTTTTACGACAAAAGGCAACCAAAAACAAACAGTAAACATTAAAAGATGTGGAAAGTCATAAGCAAGAAAAAGTTAATAAGAATCAGAAATACTTTAATGATCCCAGGGTTAAATTATCTTCATTACACAGTCCAAGAATACAAATAACATACTGCACACATTCATCATCTAAAGAAATAAAATACAAGACTAACAAATGCAATACAACTTTCCACACTAAAAATAAAAATATATGTAACATGTAACTATATGTATATACAGGCCTACTTGTATATATTTACAGACTTTTTAAAAAGTAATAGCAATCTGCAAAAGAGATCAAAAGAATAAATGTCAAAATTGTCAATTCTGTAATCAGTCTGAATTTCAGAGGTATATAGAATATTTAGAAGTATTAAAGCAAACGTCTTACCCTTTCTTGTTGCCAGTTGTAGAAATCCAACGCAGTACTGAAGAGCTGAGAGACAATTTCAGGTCGGATCAGGTTAACAGAGGTATTTTTTCTTGTTGACATCTCAGCGGTGCAGGAAGCCTTCATGTTTTTGTACAGCTCATCAACGTTTGCCATTTCCTGCAAAAGCATCAAAACAGATTCAATAAAAGTTTATCTTTGGAGGACATGGATGATTGGTTACTTTGAGCTCACCTCGAGTAGATGAGTATGGATTAGTTCCTGTGGACGAGATGCTCGTTCTATGAACTGCTCACACAACGCTGACTTCTCCATACTCCTCTTTGTTCTATATATAAGCTGAATAGAGCCAAAAAGATTTAAAAAAAAAAGAGAGTCAGAGCAATAATTGCACAGGATGTCTAATTATAAATTGGACCCCTTTAAACCCCCAGTAAAGATTTGGATAACAGGGCTCACATGAGTTGGCATAGCAGTGAAGTGGAAAGCTTTACAATTCATTAGCCGTTTTAAGACGTAGACAACATCAAAGTGCTGAGCGTCCACTGCTTCTTTCTCAAAATGCTTTATATCGTCGAAGTCCTTCAAAGCCACACGGATCTGCAGTTAGAGATGTGAAACATTAAACGGGTGATACCCTGACAGTAAGAATGTGCACGCCGGTGCTTACCCGTTCAAAAGCGGGGCCAGTCTGGCAATGGTAAAAGCTGTAAAGCAAGTAGAGCCCACCCACACGGATCTGGAAACTAAACGGCGGCAGGAAGTAGCTGTATGCAACATTCAGGGCCAGGTGAAAGAGCAACCGCTTTTTGTGGTTTGGTGTGCCACTGTAAAATAATAACATCATAGAGCCATAAATCATAAAGTACCACCAATGATAGAAACTAGTGATGGTTAATGAGGCATCATGAAGCCAAACTGTGTTGATCCTGTCTCACAGAATACTGACACCTGCTGGACATTTAGAGACACTACAGGCAGCTGAATGGACAGACTAAACTGAATTGATTTGATGACCTAGTACAATGATATAATTAAAGTTACTGTGGGTTATATTATATTATTTCATACCTATGTTTAAATTCGGATGCAGCCAATAAATAATGTAAACATATTATGTGAAAATTTAGGGGAAAATATGAATGAGGATGATTGTGGACTAGGATTTTAAGTCATATTTTTAAAGCAGTAATAACGGTAAAAACAGTAAATAAACTGAGATTCAATTTGAAATTAGATAAGCTGAGAGATAACAAAGAGGAAAATATGACACAGCTAGAAAATTAAAATAAAGTTAATGGTTGAAACCTTCGTATTCCCTTTTGGCTGCTCCAAAATTTATTGATAAACCGCAAAAGATGAGACAATTTTTTTAGCAGATGCATCATGTTGACAGATACGTTTTTAAACACAGTTTAGTGACTCAATCAGAATTGGTCTGATGACTTTCTTGAAACTATACAGTGTTTTGCTCTGTTTGTACCAGGGAAGATAAATAATGATATATGTGAGGGTTGTGAAAGAAAAGAAAATGTGGATCATGATTTGATAATTGCATTGAATATGCATCTGAAAGAGAGAGGATGTGGAAAGTAATTATGGAAAAACTGAGAGAATGGAATATTAAAGGAATTGTAGGGACAGATGGAGATATGGAGGAAAATTTGGTTATTAATAAAGTATTGTTTTTATTTTTACATAAAACAAAAATAAAAAATAGAATACAGTAGGTGGAACTATAGAGCTACACACTCGTGTACAGTAGGTGGCGGTATGCACATATAAGCTGTTTGCAATCCGCCAATCTAACAAAGAAGAAGCGTTTTGCTCTATGGGCTTCACGCATGCACAGATGCATCGGTGTTACTGGACCCTTCAGTACTAGAAACAAAAGGCAAAGGCAGCTTTCTGCCAAAATAATAATTTTGATCAAAATCATATTTTGAGAATGGCTAAATTCCGACCAACTTAGCTTAAACGTATCAAAAATAACGTTTTGACGACAGGCATAAGTTTGCAGACGTTTTTTATACAAACAGGATCCATTAAAAGGTGAACGTTAGATAATTTAAAACCATACATTTAAGTATATGACATAGAATTACCTGAAGATCAGAGAAAACTTCATTTCCTTCCAAATTTGAGAGAAAACCTCGAAGCGGATCGACTGGGTTTGTTGGAACCGATTTAGCAAAGCGTCGCAGTCTGATTTGATGTGTTTTCTATACGAATCCATTTCTGCGGGAAACAAAAACTATTCTAGACTAACGAACAAAAAAAAAGAGATGAAAACTTTAAAGAAATCGAGATTTCCTTTGTCAGTTTAGATCTCAACTAAATACCTGTAAACCTTTCCGGATCTGGCTGAGCGCCACCGGAAGCGGAAAATGTAAACATTCTCTTCTTGTTGCGCCTGAATGTGCGCTTACTGCCACCTACTGGTATGGAGTGTGGTTACTGATACGTTGCCATCTCTTTTTCTTGTAAGGTTTTATGTCAGTTGGTAAACTACGGTAGTTCAAAGGGCATTACCGCCACCAACTGATAAGGAGTAAAGCAAGGAAACAGGAAACGACTCAACCCCAGAAATAAATAAATAAATGGAAATAAAAAAAACAAACAAATTTTTCCAAACTGTTTAACTGAACCCAACATAATAAATGCTTAATCACATTGCCCTAATAATTTCTAATTTATCTTTAAGTTATCGTCACCCTGCCAGTTTCTGATGGTCCTACTGGTTTTATTTCTGTATACACACACACACACACACACACACAC